TTTTTTTTTTTTTTTAAAGTTTATGCATTATTAGACTTCGTTAAAATTTTATTTTTTAGTATTTGTTTTGAATAATAAAAAAATTTATATTTTCAAAATTTTAAAATAATTATTTTTCTTTTAAAAATTTAACGGGTAGATAAAACTTTTGGATAACCCACTTTAGGAATTCAAATTCTTGTAATTAATATGTACTTATCCTAAAATTGTCATCAACACATCAAATTTTTTTGTAAAAGAGATTGAAAAATGGCTATTTAAAATTTAATAATATAAAAAATTTAAAAAAAGTAATAAAATTTGAATCTATGGACAGCTCATAATATTATTTAATTTGATAACTGTATATATAACGAAAAAAAAGACAAGTACTTAATAGTTTTAGTTTCAAAAAGTTTCAAAATATATGAATAATATAGAGAAATTTCTATTATATTTTTGAAGATTCATTTCATTTTTAATGAAATTTGCAGATTAAGAAAATTTGGGTGTTCATCTACAAATAACGATCACTAAAATAAAAAATGACTGTTTAAATATTACTAAATATCAACAAAGTTTTAAATAAATAGGCATTACTTGAGTTAGTAAAATAATTTTATCAACCAAATTTAAAGTATCAGACAGTTTATATCTTTTAAAAATATGATATTATTTTGTTTGTTATATTTTTATTGTATATCTAATATTCTAATGGTTTAACATACATATGAATCATGGGGTGCATTGAAACATTAAACGAAGGGTAGCTGATTGTGAGAGGTCGTCGTTATGACTCATCGTCATGTCGCAGACAGTTGTGACTTATATGTATACTACTTTAAATTATATACTTATTATTCGGAAAGGTATAAGATAAAAATTATTAATTATTCACTGCATGATATTACAAATATATAAAAGGTATTAATATCGTTTTAAATTGAGTTTTCGAACTTACTTGTTTTTTCAAATGGTTTTAAATAATATGTCTTTACCTACTTTTAAACTATTGAATCTATATGACTGTAATAATTATTTAGGTTAACTATTAAAAAAATAATTTCATTCATGCATCTTACTATTAATATTCTTGTTAATTTTGCTTAGTCTTGCTATTAAAAAATTTAATTGTTTTAAATGTGACCTTCCTAGTGCCCAACAAATTTTTTAAAAATTATCAACAGTATATTTCTAATTTAATATTATTGGATGTGCAACATGTATTATTTACTTTTCATTGATAGTATCATAGAAGCACATCTAAAATAGTAATTATACTATAATGACCATGGTTTTGTCAAATGTAACTATGTTTAATTATAATTTTAATTAAACAGTTGTTGAAATGAAAATATACACACACCCATGCAAACTGAAAGATGAATAATGGAAACAATACAACTAAGTTATTATTAATATGTTTTATATGTACAAGTAAAAAGCCTGTGACGTATAGTTTACTAAGAGTATAATAAACATGAATCTTAATTATGGATTGTTTTAACCGCTTGTTATGTTTGTCAGAAAAACGTAACTTGTTAAACTTAAAAACTAAAATTTACAATTGTCGCACAACTTCTAAAAAATATTGTATAAATGTACTGTCGCATGAACCAAGTCAGCTCGTCTTTTCCAATAATTAATTAGAATAATCTAACATATGTTTTTCGGTAGAAAAAATAATTAATTCATGGACACTCCCAACAAATTGCGTCTACAGTGTTTTACTATTATTTTTTGACCGTTGAAAAATATTCATTTGAAATTTAATGTTAGATTATAAAAATTATTCAAGGTCGTCATCGTTATAGCGTTTGTTGTGATTTGTAGCTCAACGTGTAGAAACGTACGTCAAATGTAGCAAAAAATGTCAAGTTCACAATTTATTTTTCATTATTCATGATCTAAAACAAAAAATAATATGTCAAAAAATGATAAAACAAATTGGTTACCTCGAACTGACTTTCATTAAAGTTTATATTTTAATTTGAAAACTATTTAATTAAATTGCATAAAACAATGAATAATCTTTTTTTTAACTACACTGAAAAAGATAAAATCAACAAATATATTATTAATACAGTAGAGAAATTAGAAATTTTGTATGGGGTAGGTCCAGATAGGCTATCTGCTATCTGAGATGGCTTTTAAAAAGTCAATTATTCACTTCTTCACTGCCACCGTTACTATGATGTTATGTCCACGAGTCTTTGGACCGGAGAACCATACATTGTATTAACATAAAATCAACAATTTTTTTTTTATATTATTATTTTTAGACACATTTTCGACAAAATATTTATTTAAAAATTCTAGTTAGGGAGTAGTTTATAAAATTATATTTGTTTTATGTTTTGTATTGTTATCATTCTATTATTATTTCTACAAGAATTTTAAAACCACTGAAAATTGTTATTTGAATGATAAACTAGATAAAATTTCTTATCTCCATAAAATGCAGATAAAAATAACATGACATTATTAATGTCGTGTTATTTACTGCGTTTCAACTTTAAACATATTTAACCACGAATATAAACTGCTTCTACAATAGATGTCAATTTTTTAGGCAGTTTAAAATCTAGTTAAATAATATTGCTAAAAACAGCTTTTCACATGTAAACAGCATGAATTTTAAACATTTTTATGTGTTTTTTTGAAATAGAAAATGTTTAATACGCATATTAAGTTTTGTTTTAGTTATTAAATAAGAATTATTAATTATAGTAACAATAGAATACTAATAAGTTTAGGAAGGCAATTAATGTACTATACTTATAATTAGTAGATTATTTAATCGAAAATTAAAAATAATATTGACAACTATTGTTTTATTAAGGTACATGTTTTTTTCAATTTATAAATTATTTATTTAAGTATACATTCGTTCTTTTCCTCCCACCTAAGTACA